CTACGAAGAAAAGTTGGGTTTCGAGGAGTCTCTTGTTTCATAATTGTTGAGCTTACTTCCATTTCGAGTTGAAGTGTTGGGTGAAGAGATGCGAAGGTCGGTTCCACCAGAAGACGAAGGCGGATTCCTCTTGACCAGCTGTCGATTGCGTTTACTAGAAGATTCAGCTCTACTCATATTATTGTGGGATAAATCAACTACCGTTCCTTCATCAAATTAAACGAAATATGCTGAACACAATTCATATATTAAATTGCTTCACTCCGCACCCTGTCCTGTCCTCTTTTTCGTTTAGGGCAGTCGACTTGGCCCGAGGACGGCAAGCAGAAGCAGATCTCCAATCCGGGCGCGGAATTCGGCTGGCTCGGCTCTGCCGACCGGACTTGGTCCCTCCTGCCGGAGCACCGACCGCCCGACTCGAGCAACGTTCTCTCGCCTGACGACAGTGTCCGGCACGGCGGTGGCCAATCATCCTCACCAGTCTCCCGTCAGGGCCATTGGTCGGCCTGGTCTGACTGGTCGCCAGGCTGCGGCCTACACACCGACTGCCGACAGGTGCGTAGTCGCCGTTGCCTTGTGCCTGCGTCGTCTTTCGGCCCGACTCACTCGTCATCGTCTGCGACGGAGGCAGTAACAGACCGTCGAGGCAGCGGGGCTGAGCAGACACACAGCGCCCAAACGAACCACGATGAGACTGCGCAGCCGAGAAGGGACGAGACGGTCGAACAGAGGAGGCCTCCGATCATAGCAGATACAAGCTTTGATGATCCACACAATGCAACTTTCCCTTCCCTCTTCCACGATGCCTACGTGACCTCCTTTTCCGAATCTTCCCCTCCCCCCCGTCGCTCCTCTTCTACCTCTTCTTTTTCTCCTATTTCCACATCTTCTTCTACTCTTCTTCTTCCACCTGCTCCGGCTCACACTCATTATACTACGCCTGCTCCAACTTCTCCTCCTCCCTTTTTCCCTCCCCCACCCTCTATGTTGTCCTCTTCTCCTTCTATTCCTTCGTTCGGTTTTGCCTTTACTCCCACCCGTAATCCTCTCGCCCCAGCGGCATGGCCACAAGAGCCGCCATACTGGCACGCTCCTGAGGGCCGTTGTCTCCGGCTTGGCCAATTGGTGGGTGGCCGAGAGGTCCGCTGGTGCTTGGAACTGCTCGAGTGTCAGGAGCGCTGGCGCAGGTCTCGCAACCACCCACCGCCTCCGGGTAGGTGTGCACGCCAAATTTCGGCTGGTCATGTCTGCCTTCAATCCTCAATTTGACCATCTATTCGTAGGAAAACCATAGTACTAGTTTCCTGTTATACAGAAGAAAAGTTGTAATGTTGCTTTTATCTCGTTTTCCCAGCTTGGTCTGCGTTCTCTGTTATAGCATTAATGAAGAAAAGTTGGGTTTCGAAAATCTCTTGTTTCATAATTGTTGGGCTTACTTCCATTTCGAGTAGAAGTGTTTGGTGAAGAGATTCGAAGGCCAGTTCCACCAAAAGACGACGGCGAATTCCTCTTGACCAGCTGAGCACAGGGCTCAGCAGAAATTGGACACGAGATTGAATGGTCTCAAACTTGTCGTTTTGCTGATTATGGCATGTTTGCGGCTAACGTAAAATTAGAGAAGCCATTGAAATAAACCGAATAGGAAATACTTTGAATGTAAGGAATACTGGTAAGAAGATAATTAAAAACTATTTGTGCTTAATTGATCGATTAAAGGATTGAGAGGGAGTTGAACCGCC